TTTGTCCTAATATTTTTGTTCCCCTAAAATGGAGGGACTATGTACAAGAAGTGCTGTAATTTCTAAACAGTTCACTAGATATGTATGAAAATACCCTCCAATTAAAGCTGACAGTCTGCACTTTAACCTCATAGTCATTGTATAATTTCAGATCCAAAGTGCTGGAGTACAGAGCCAAAACAACACAACATGTGCCGCTGTCCCAGTACTGTTGGAGCTCCCTGTACATGTTAAATGTACTTCAGCTCAAGTTATTCCCCTGTTTTACTCCACACCCTTGGGAACATAAATGTATGTTTATCTCACATGTTGACTGTACATTTGTTATTTGTATACATTGATTTGATGACATCATATGTTTTTCCACCTACACCACATTAATGTGAAAAGCCAAACTGAATCAAAGGCTTTTTGGAAACCCACAAAGCAGGTTTATCAATTATAGTGGCTAGGGTATAAATGTGGTCTGATGGTAAATGTTAAATAATTGTTAGGAATCCAATTTATCTTTCTCGCTCTCGCTCTCTCTCTCTCTCTCTCTCTCTCTCTCTCTCTCTCTCTCTATCTCTCTCTCTCTCTCATCTCTCTCTCTCTCTACTCTCTCTCTCTCCTCTCTCTCTCTCTCTCTCTCTCTCTCTCTCTCTCTCTCTCTCTCTCTCTCTCATTTAAATTTAATTCATTTAAATTCAAAGGGCTTTATTGGCATGGGAAACATAGGTTAATATTGCCAAAGAAAGTGAAATAGATAATATGTCAGTAAACATTACCCTCACAAAAGTTCCAAAAGAAGAGACATTTCTCTCCCTCCCCTCCCTCCCTCCCTCCCTCCCTCCCTCCCTCCCTCCCTCCCTCCCTCCCTCCCTCCCTCCCTAGAGTCTCAGTTCTCTCCAGTCATCAGTGTCTGTTTCTCTCTCTGTCCTTTGACTCCTTCTCTCCAGCAGTATGTCTAAAACAAGTCTCTCTTCTTCCCCTCTGACTATTAGACAAAGCTTCTGATGCTGCAAAAAAGAATACAAGATATATATTTTTATTCGTTTTCTTCCCTCGTTTGAAGGCGTCTGCTGCCAGTACAATCAACAGATGGCATACGCTGCTGCTGCTCATGCGCGCGCGCGAGTGTGTGTGTGTGTGTGTGTGTGTGTGTATGTGTGTGTGTGTAGCAGCAGCCTGTCAGCCGTATGCTTCCTCCTCTGTATACACACAGACAGTATTTTGAGCTGGCCAGCAGCCCAGAGTTGGTTCAGGGAGGATTGTAAAGTATTCTCTTTCTTGTAACTGGGTTAAGCATGGAACTGAATGTACAGTGTGTGTGTGTGTGTGTGGTGTGTGTGTGTGTGTGTGTGTGTGTGTGTGTGTGTGTGTGTGTGTGTGTGTGTGTGTGTGTGTGTGTGTGTGTGTGTGTGTGTGTGTGTGTGTGATGACTAAATATAAAATGTAAAACATTTATTTGGCAGGATATGTATAAATACTACAAATACCTGGTTAGACCGGTCTGGTTAGACCGTAAACTCTCCTTCCAGACTCACATTAAGCATCTCCAATCAAAAGTTAGATCTAGAATCGGCTTCCTATTTCGCAACAAAGCTTCCTTCACTCATGCTGCCAAACATGCCCTCATAAAACTGACTATCCTACCGATCCTTGACTTTGGCGATGTCATTTACAAAATAGCCTCCAACACTCTACTAAGAAAATTGGATGTAGTCTATCACAGTGCCATCCGTTTTGTCACCAAAGCCCCATATACTACTCACCATTGTGACCTGTACGCTCTTGTTGGCTGGCCCTCACTACATATTAGTCGCCAAACCCACTGGCTCCAGGTCATCTATAAATCACTGCTACGGCAAAATCCCCCCGCCTTATCTTAGCTCATGGTCACCATAGCAACACCCACCCGTAGTCTGCGCTCCAGCAGGTATATCTCACTGGTCATCCCCAAAGCCAACACCTCCTTTGGCCGCCATTCCTTCCAGTTCTCTGCTGCCAATGACTGGAACGAACTGCAAAAATCTCTGAAGCTGGAGTGTGTACCTATGATAAAAATTACAGACCTCTACATGCTTTGTAAGTAGAAAACCTGCAAAATCGGCAGTGTATCAAATACTTGTTCTCCCCAATGTATAGACAGTAGAGGACTGGGTCTGTCTATCAGATGTCTGTATAGGATATATAGACAGTAGAGGACTGGGTCTGTCTATATCAGATGTCTCTATAGGATATATAGACAGTAGAGGACTGGGTCTGTCTCTATCAGATGTCTCTATAGGATATATAGACAGTAGAGGACTGGGTCTGTCTATCAGATGTCTCTATAGGATATATAGACAGTAGAGGACTGGGTCTGTCTATCAGATGTCTCTATAGGATATATAGACAGTAGAGGACTGGGTCTGTCTCTATCAGATGTCTCTATAGGATATATAGACAGTAGAGGACTGGGTCTGTCTCTATCAGATGTCTCTATAGGATATATAGACAGTAGAGGACTGGGTCTGTCTCTATCTGATTTCTTTATAGGATATATGGACAGTAGAGGACTGGGTCTGTCTATCAGTATGCTCTATAGGATATAAGACAGTAGAGGACTGGGTCTGTCTATCAGATGTCTCTATAGGATATATAGACAGTAGAGGACTGGGTCTGGCTCTATCAGATGTATTTATAGGATATATAGACAGTAGAGGACTGGGTCGTCTATCAGATGTCTCTATAGGATATATAGACAGTAGAGGACTGGGTCTGTCTCTATCAGATGTCTCTATAGGATATATAGACAGTAGAGGACTGGGTCTGTCTCTATCAGATGTCTCTACAGGATATATAGACAGTAGAGGACTGGGTCTGTCTCTATCTGATTTCTTTATAGGATATATGGACAGTAGAGGACTGGGTCTGTCTATCAGATGTCTCTATAGGATATATAGACAGTAGAGGACTGGGTCTGTCTATCAGATGTCTCTATAGGATATATAGACAGTAGAGGACTGGGTCTGGCTCTATCAGATGTATTTATAGGATATATAGACAGTAGAGGACTGGGTCTGTCTCTATCAGATGTCTCTATAGGATATATAGTAGTCCAACCAGGACCCATAGGGTAGTCAAAGGTAGTCCAACCAGGACCCATGGGGTAGTCAAAGGTAGTCCAACCAGGACCCATGGGGTAGTCAAAGGTAGTCCAACCAGGACCCCATGGGGTAGTCAAAGGTAGTCCAACCAGGACCCATGGGGTAGTCAAAAGGTAGTCCAACCAGGACCCATGGGGTAGTCAAAGGTAGTCCAACCAGGACCCATGGGGTAGTCAAAGGTAGTCCAACCAGGACCCATGGGGTAGTCAAAGGTAGTCCAACCAGGACCCATGGGGTAGTCAAAGGTAGTCCAACCAGGACCCATGGGGTAGTCAAAGGTAGTCCAACCAGGACCCAAGGGGTAGTCAAAGGTAGTCCAACCAGGACCCATGGGGTAGTCAAAGGTAGTCCAACCAGGACCCATGGGGTAGTCAAAGGTAGTCCAACCAGGACCCATGGGGTAGTCAAAGGTAGTCCAACCAGGACCCATGGGGTAGTCAAAGGTAGTCCAACCAGGACCCATGGGGTAGTCAAAGGTAGTCCAACCAGGACCCATGGGGTAGTCAAAGGTAGTCCAACCAGGACCCATGGGGTAGTCAAAGGTAGTCCAACCAGGACCCATGGGGTAGTCAAAGGTAGTCCAACCAGGACCCATGGGGTAGTCAAAGGTAGTCCAACCAGGACCCATGGGGTAGTCAAAGGTAGTCCAACCAGGACCCAAGGGGTAGTCAAAGGTAGTCCAACCAGGACCCATGGGGTAGTCAAAGGTAGTCCAACCAGGACCCATGGGGTAGTCAAAGGTAGTCCAACCAGGACCCATGGGGTAGTCAAAGGTAGTCCAACCAGGACCCATGGGGTAGTCAAAGGTAGTCCAACCAGGACCCATGGGGTAGTCAAAGGTAGTCCAACCAGGACCCATGGGGTAGTCAAAGGTAGTCCAACCAGGACCCATGGGGTAGTCAAAGGTAGTCCAATCAGGACCCATGGGGTAGTCAAAGGTAGTCCAACCAGGACCCATGGGGTAGTCAAACGATTAGAATGTGAGAATATAGACTGCTGTTGTATGTGGCGCTCCCGAGTGGCACAGTAGTTTTGGGAAACAGCTTGGAGATTTATCGATGGTCCTATGAAGGTTCTAACGATGAACGTTGCCTTATGGGCCATAGGAAATGTAGGGCTCTGTACAGATTTACTGTGAGAACTGACAGATAACTCAATGAGCTAGTTCTGTTTCCCCTGTGTGTGTGTGTGTGTGTGTGTGTGTGTCTACTCAGGCTGTGGAAAGATAGACTGACCTGAGCGTGAATTTAGATCAGCTGTTCACCTCTAGTGTCATTCTAGTATAGATCAGCTGTTCACCTCTAGTGTCATTCTAGTATAGATCAGCTGTTCACCTCTAGTGTCATTCTAGTATAGATCAGCTGTTCACCTCTAGTGTCATTCTATTATAGATCAGCTGTTCACCTCTAGTGTCATTCTAGTATAGATCAGCTGTTCACCTCTAGTGTCATTATAGTATAGATCAGCTGTTCACCTCTAGTGTCATTCTAGTATAGATCAGCTGTTCACCTCAAGTATAATTCTAGTATAGATCAGCTGTTCACCTCTAGTGTCATTCTAGTATAGATCAGCTGTTCACCTCTAGTGTCATTCTAGTATAGATCAGCTGTTCACCTCTAGTATCATTCTAGTATTGATCAGCTGTTCTAGTATGACACTAGAGGTCAACATGTGTTCCTTTCTTTAGTTTATTTTGTGTGTATAATTCTGTCTCTCTCCTTCCTCCCCCTCACTCCCCTCCCCCCTCTTTCCCTCCCCTCCTTCCCTCTCCCCCTCCCTCCCTCCCTCCCTCCCTCCCTCCCCTCCCTCCCTCCCTCCCTCCCTCCCTCCCCTCCCCTCCCTCCCTCCCTCCCTCCCTCCCTCCCCCAGCAGACGGAGGAGGAGGCTCAGACAGACAGTCAGCAGCAGAGCCAGTCGTCTGACAGTTCTAACAGTAAGACGCAACCCAAGCGGCTCCATGTCTCCAACATACCCTTCAGGTTCAGGGACCCAGACCTCAGGCAAATGTTTGGCGTGAGTATTACAGTACAATTATTGATTTTATCCCCCCAAAAGTTAATCATTTCCAAATGCTACATATGCTGTAGTACTGAATAATCCTCCATTAAAGAATGTCACTGACTCTGTCTTTTTTCTGTCTTTCTTTCCAGCAATTTGGTAAAATATTAGATGTTGAAATAATTTTTAACGAGCGGGGCTCTAAGGTACGTGATGCGTTGTGTTTCTCTTCTCATTGGTAGTTGTTAGAGGAAGCTAGAGGTTAGAGATTTGTGTTAGAGGATAGAAGATATGGAAAAAGTTTTGAAGCAGAGGGGGTACCTACCTAAAGTGTGCTTAATCCTTCTACGTTTCAAAATGTTTTCTCCTTTTATTCTTCTGAACGACACCCCAGGCTGTTTTCTGTAATGACTGGATGACTGGAGTACCATGAGTAATGACAGTAATCATATGAATAAAGATTATAATGATAATAATATTAATAACATGCATGTTGTTCTCTCCCTCTCCATCCTGCATGCAGGGTTTTGGGTTCGTAACTTTCGAGCATAGTGCGGACGCTGACAGGGGCGCGAGAAAAATTACACGGCACGGTCGTAGAAGGCCGTAAAATAGAGGTGCATGTTACAAATACTTCCTCTACTTCCTCCTCCTCTTCCTCCTTTACCTCCTCCTCTACCTCTGTGTTCAGTGTGTGTGAATGTGTGTGTGTGTATAACGTCTGCTTCACTCCCCCCATTTCACCCTGTCCCACACGTCACCTTTCTCTCCACCTGCGCCCTCACCTCCCTCCCTCACCCTCCTCATACAGACCCCATTTTGATTTATTGTCAGGTATTTTACATCCATGAATACGTGTACAAGTTTACTGATGTATATTTCCCAGGATTTGCTTCATTTTGTTATGACTTCATTTATTTTCAAAAGAGCTCAATTGTTAACTTAAGTAGAAGGTTGTTGTGAAGTAAATATTGTGTTTTGTCTTTCTGAAGTTCAAGGGTTCCCCCTAGTGCTTAGAGCCAGTTCCTCAGAAAAGTCAGGAAGTAAACAAAGCAGTGAAGGATCATGGGTAGTGAGTGACCTCACTGCAGGGTTAGGGATATACGGTGGCCTGTAAGTTACAAACTACAGTCCCCTATAAACAGTGGAGAAAAAGTATGACATATAAAAGCTAAAGAGAAAAATGATAGTATTTGCCACTTAGTCTCATCCAACAGTATTCTAGAAACATTGATTTGGTTTACTTGGCAACTCACAAATACAATCCAAGAATAAAAATATGTTTTGGGAGCCACACAGAGACCTTTAGAGAACTACAGAGAGAGCTAAAAGAGAGAGAGTTTTTAGTGCATAGGTGCACGTTTTAGTTTTTGCACTAACACTACACAGCTGATTCAAATAATCAACTCATCATCAAGCTTTTATAATTTGAATCAGCTGTGTAGTGCTAAGGCAAAAAACTAAACGTGCACCCCTTCGGGTCCCGAGGACCGAGTTTGGGAAACGCTGGATAGTGATTGCGGGTATAACTGCCATTGCTTTGGCCTCTTGAGTAAGACGTTGCATATTCCTCTCTCATCTCCCCCTCCTCCATCTTCCCAATGGTAGCTCCACTCGTATAGGCCCCCAACTCTGTTACCACGGTAACAAAACACAAACAAGTGGGCGGGGCCAAAAACAGGTCTGGGAATGGTAAGTGTGAAGTGAGCCATTCTGCCAATGTATTATTACTACCATCTCTCTCTCTCTCTCTCTCTCTCTCTCTCTCTCTCTCTCTCTCTTTCTCTCACTCTCACACACTCTCTCTATCTCGAACGCTCGCTATGCTCAAATTCACGTGACTTTCTTTTGGCTTGTGGTTGAGTTGGGTGTTTCTTGAAGCTGTGTTATGATTATATGTTTTCTCTTGCGTGTTACGGCGTGTTTTACCACTCAATGTCTCAGTCCAGCTGCTAGCGTGATGATGCGTGATGATGCGTGATGCGTGACCCAATCTGATTGGTTGAGACATGCACTGACTCGTTGCACCTCTTCTCTGGGACTGTGGAACCCGTTGATTGTGTTTTTGGACCACAATGCACCCTGTTTTTAATTTTCCCTTCTGTTAGCTGTGATTCAAGCTGGAATGACTTGATTGATTGACTGATTAATTGATTGGTTGATTTGATCCGTTTTTATTTCTGTATTTATTTCTGTTTTGATTTGGTTGATGACTCTGATTGTTGTTGCGATGACACTCCAGGCTTGGTGAGGTGGAGTGTGAATGCTACATGTTGCTTTGTGTCTGTCTGATGGTTCTCCTTACTCTGGAAGATGACTGGATGTTGCAGAATGCTCCAAACATGCCCTCCTCCTTCCTCCTCCTCCTTCCCCTCCTCCTTCCTCCTCCTCCTCCTCCTCCTTCTCCTCCTCCTCCTCCTCCTCCTCCTCCTCCTCCTCCTCCTTCCTCCTCTTCCTCCTCCTTCCTCCTCCTCCTCCTCCTCCATGTTCTTTGTTAGTTGTTTCCACTTCCCCCTCTCTACTGCATGCTCCTTCATATGACAACACAGCTGTTTGATTGTTTGTCCAGTGTTGTTTCCTTTATGTTTCGCTCATTTACTTTTGAAGACCAGAACTGGATTAAGCATGCTGGAAATCTTTTACAATATGAAAATATGAAAATATTTTTTTTATTTGCTTTGTATGATTCTTTACTATTCATGTATGACATGTTTAAATACTGACATGGATGTTTGTCATGACAACTTAAACGTTTTGGAACACATTGATGTACAAATTATGATATGGAAGCATGCCGCTTCATTGATCACAACATACTGTTGGCTGACTGCTATTGGACATGCACTGATACAAGCCTGTCTGTGATAGGTCAACAATGCAACAGCACGGGTAATGACCAATAAGAAGACAGTCAACCCTTATGCAAACGGTAAAACTCACTGGGCTTCTGTGGGAGGGGTTTAAGACTCACCAGGCCTCTGTGGGAGGGGTTTAAGACTCACTGGGATTCTGTGGGAAGGGTTTAAAACTCACTGGGCTTCTGTGGGAGGGGTTTAAGACTCACTGGGCTTCTGTGGGAGGGGTTTAAAACTACTTATATGTTTTCTATATATGTCTTTATCTTCTAGAAAATATTTCTGATAATAAAGATCACTTATATCCTGCAACAGCTGCTGAATTTTCTTTTTCATCTCTCTCTCTCTGTCCCTCTCCTTCCTTCCTTGTCTTTTCTCTCTTCTCTCTCCTCTCTCTCTCTCTCTCCCTCTCTCTCTCTCTCCCTCTCTCTCTCTCTCTCTCTCTCTCTCTCTCTCTCTCTCTCTCTCTCTCTCTCTCTCTCTCTCTCTCTCTCTCTCTCTCTTCAGGGTGGAAGTTGAACCCAGTAGTCGGTGCAGTCTACAGTCCAGAGTTCTATGCAGGTAAGAGGACAGATGAGGATGTAAACTATCTTCCCTCTCTGTTGGTCTCTGCCTCTCTATGAATATGTGACTGATCTGGGTTCTCAATCCACATTAACTGTGTGTTCCATGTCTTTAGGTCTTGGACAAGGTTACTAATAACATGATTCACCGAACCACATCCACATCACACGATTCACCCAACCATATCCACATCACATGATTAATCGAACCACATCCATATCACACGATTCACCGAACCACATCCACATCACATGATTCACCGAACCACATCCACATCACATGATTCAGCGAACCACATCCACATCACACGATTCACCGAACCACATCCACATCACACGATTCACCGAACCACATCCACATCACACGATTCACCGAACCACATCCACATCACATGATTCAGCAATCCACATCCACATCACACGATTCACCGAACCACATCACACGATTCACCGAACCACATCCACATCACACGATTCACCAAACCACATCAACATCACATGATTCAGCAATCCTCATCCACATCACATGATTCACTGAACCACATCCACATCACACGATTCACCGAACCACACCCACATCACACGATTCACCGAACCACATCCACATCACACGATTCACCGAACCACATCCACATCACACGATTCAGCGATCCACATCACACGATTCAGCGATCCACATCACACAATTCACCTAGCTAGCTGTTAAGACCCTTTTCTATTGGCACTTTAAATCAGGGCCAAATTCCAGCTGGCTCCAATGGAATTCTCCAATTTGAGCTGGGTCTGGGGAAACCCGGGCCAGTGCAGCCCAGTTTCACAACTGGTGCTACCTGGATTTGATTTGGGTTTAGTGACGTTGTTACTATGCAACCACCAGATGATCACTGCTGAGTGCTCCGTGTGTGTGTTGTTGCTACTACTAGCTAGCACATGGACTGCAGCAGTCAGACATTACATTATTTACCACCATAGCTGGATCCTTAATTTATCTTTGCTTTACACAATAAACTTTTATAAGGACAATGTCAGGCATTGTTTTTGGTTAGCAGCCCTCGAATGCTACCTAGCTAACATTAGCTTGCAAATCAGAGTTGAAATGAGCTAGCTAATGTGAGTTAGCAGAGATTTTAGCTAGTCATGTCATATTGATACATTATTGAAAACTAGCTAGCTACATCCTATCAAACCTGTCATCTAGTTTGTTTGGTTAGCTAGTTAGCTAGTAGCCAATGCCATGGTAAGCAAACAATAGGAATTTAGCTAGCTATCCTGTTTTGCTAGCGACGACGCTAACCATTTAGCTACCTAGCTAGCAAGCTAAAAACTTGGGTGGCTGACACTGGCAGGAGTATGGGGTAAATTTAGTTACAGTGTGGTGAGGGTGAATTTAATTATTTCTTCAACAAATTGTTGTAGCAACTTTCAAGAAATTCTAGCTAACTAACTAGTAACATCAGCGAAGCTAGCTGCACAGTTATGGCTACCTAGCAGCATGACATCATTTCAAAATTCTAGAGGCAGTGGAAACCCAATATAGCTGTGCCCATTAAGGCCAGACCAACCCAATTTGAGCTGTGCCCACCAAGGCCAGACCAACCCGGGTTGAATGCCCACCAAGGCCAGACCAACCTGGGTTGAATGCCCACCAAGGCCAGACCAACCTGGGTCTACAAGGCTTTAGTGCAGTACAGAAGAATCAGAAGACAGTGGTAACAAATAGATATTTATAGAGTAGAGGGGTAGGAGAGTTCATGCTGACTCACAGACACAACAACAAATAGTCCTGCACACACACACACACACACACACACATCAACATCAAGCATTTTATGACTGCTAGGATTTGGGGGATTGTTTTAGATTCTTTCTTTGTCTTTTTCCATATCTCTCTCTTTGGGGTGTGTGTGTGTGTGTGTGTGTTTGTGTGTGTGTGTGTATTTACGTGTATGTGTATGTGTATGTGTATGTGTATGTGTATGTGTATGTGTATGTGTATGTGTATGTGTATGTGTGTGTGTGTGTTAACCTTGGCTGTACCAGCCGTGACCTTCCGTCCTCTCCTGTCATTACCCTCTCTCTCATTATGGTGAAAAATATCATCCTGATTTATCATTATATCAACAAAGTCAGGAGAGAGAGAGATGAGAGAAGAGCGAGCGGGGTTTTTTAAGGGCCCCCAAAAAAAAAAAATAAAAAAAAAAAAAAAAAAAAAATTTTTTTAATTTTTTTTTGGGAAAAAAATTTTTTTTTTTTAAAAAGGGGGGGGTTTTTTTG